AAACATATTTTAATTAAAAAAAACATTTGTGAGCAGAGTGTTTTTTTCAGAGCTGCCATGATGAAGAAGATAACAATGATGGTGAAGAGGAAGTGAAGAGCTTTGAAGTAAGATTAATACCGTCTACTTCAATCTTTTATTTTGTTCATTATTCCATAGTGTCCCATGTAGCAGCATTTGTTCATGCTTTTCAACATGTAAAAATGTAATTCTGATAACAGAATGTATCTGCTTGATAAAATATTATTTTTAAAAATTCTAAAAATATGACCACATTAAAATCCAAAGTTAAAGTATTTTCCATTACTTCCATAACAATTGAGAAGAGTTTTGATGAAGAACTTCCAAAGTCTTGTTTGAAACTCTTAAGACAAATACTTGGCTATGGATTTTGTTCACCGAATATACTTAAGTAGCATCAGTACGATACTCTGATGGTCATAGAGATTACTGCTAGGTATTGAAGTATATTATACCCAGTATATAAAAGGTTTTATAGGGCAAGACCAACTTATAGAATAGTGTTAAGAGACCTGTGCTAATCAACCATTGTTATGCGATCCGGATTAGATATTTATGAGAAGTGCTGCTAGATTTGTATCATTTAAAAGTGTTAAATTAAGAGTTCCCGTACAGTTTATTACAGTCTTTAACTGTTCTTAAAAAGATATACAGGTAGTCCTTGACTTACAACCATCCATTCAGCAACTATTTCAAGTTACAATGGCACTGAAAAAAGTGACTTATGGCCTTGCACTTAAAACCATTGCAGCCTCCCCATAGTCACATGATCAAAATTCAGGCGCTTGGCAACTGGCATATATTCACAATGGTTGCAGTGTCCTGGGATAATGTGATAGCATTTGCAACCTTCCCAGCTGGCTTCTGACAAGCAACATTGATGGGGAAAGTGTGGTCCACTTATCAATTGCAATTGTTGTTCACTTAACCATGGCAAAAAGAAGTCATAAACACTGGCTTGCTTAACACCAGAAATTCTGGTCCCAACTGTAGTAGCAAGTCAAGGATTATTTGTAAATAAAGACAGCCAGATCTGTAATCTCAATTTCTACATAAATTGTATGTAAAATTATCTAAGCCCAACATACAAATGTGAATTCTGTCTATCCTCTTATTTTTCCCATTCCCCCAAGTATCTCACCTTACATATAAAATATGTGTTTCTCAAATAAATCAAGATAATAATACCCAGAGGAATGGCTCAAGTTTGCTTTGCCATTCATGTATTTTGTCTTCTTGGATATGTGCCACGTATCATAAAACCAGCCCCTCTATATTCTATGTGAAGCAAAATATTTTTTATTTAACCACTTGGTGGAGTTCTGAGCAAAGTAGCTGATACTGGAAAAAATCAGTTTGGGTTATAAACTTGTCTGTCAGAAGAAACTCATCTGTGTATTGAGCTTACGAGCTTTGGGTTAGATGAAGAGATGTTATCATCTTAATGAATTCAGCTATTTCAAGATATTACTTTGTACTTGTTGAGAGGATCAAAGACCTTTTGAGATCACCCCTATAAATTTATACAGTAATCACTCATTATAATTCTGCATTTCTTGCCAGTAGTGAGTAGAAACAATTAGCACTTACTTGCTCTGTGATGTCAGTTGTCACAGTTTGTACATAAGTACATTTATGGCACTGTGCCTTTTATTTATTATCCAGTCCATTATCAAATTAGCAGTGACAATTGACATAGACAAATCTGAAATTCAGTTGTACAAGACATCTTTGAATATATCAACTGATATGGCACAGCTATCAGTGTTTCAAATATATCTTCTAGTTATTGAAGTATTGGCTTTTTTTAAGCAGAATTTGAACTGTTCATTTCTAATGAGTGTAGTATAAAACGTCTTTTTAAAAGTACAAGTAGCCAAATTATAGAAATGCAACGAAAATAAAATGATGTTCTCATTGAACACAAAATATAGACAATACTTATTTATACTAAATTTATACTGTTAATAACTCATTAAATTATAACAGTTAAATGCTGCCCTACACTGAATTTCACATTATGAAAACACTCGTTCATAAAATACTTTATTTGATGTATAATGAACACAGGGATCTCTATATAACTCAAGTAATAACAATTTAAAACCTTAATGTTATTAATTGAAAAAGTTTAATTACATACTCAAATGCTTCCCATTTTTTTCACCAGTCAGTAGGAATTTCTGTTTCTCTTCATAATGTTGAAAAATGTGCTGCAGCAAGCAAAATATAAATTATCATAAATTAGAGATTTTTTATTATTTTAAAGCACTGAGTTTTATAAGAAAGATGATTATGTGTGTCATTGCAATTTTATATATTTGTAATAAAGAGAAAAGCTTTAGTTTTGTTGTTCCCTCAGTGTAAGTAAAAAATAACAGAAAATATCAATCAAATTAAAATTATCTCTATTCAGAACTCTTCTTTATCGCTTTGGTATTCTCGTCCTTGCTCTTCATCTTTTGTCTGCTACCACTAATCACTGTTGTATATGTGAGAAGTATATATCTTTTGTTGTTCGTTTTCACTTGCCACTGTATTTCCATCTTTAAATTATTATAAACCTTGATAAACACATGTATATTTTCAAGGTATCTTTATTAGTAGTAAGTATTCATATAATTAGAATTTACAAATGAATCTGAGAGTTATCAAGTAAGAGTTATGGAACTTGTTCAGCTGAAAACTGTTGAAACAAAGTTAATTATCAGGTTCTTTTAAAAACAAAGAGGACTGTTAAGCAAATCTATACTAGGACAGTCCGAGTTTCTATAGGAAATATATTGTGGGGAGGGAGAGAACGCATTAAACAATTGAATGTTAAATGAAGCCCTACAGGTTGAAACTTTTCTGGGTTTTGCATTTAAATTTTAAATTGTCATGAAACATATATGGGAACCAAGCAATCATTCTTCAAGAACTACAATTTGGACTGTGCATTTAGTTGATCAGCTATCGTCAGAGTACTTTGGACAGTTTTCTTATTGCTATTTCACTTCTTATCCTCACCTTTCCTTAAGGTCACAGGATCCCAACGCAGCAAGGTAAAATAATGTGTTGTGTGCTTATGTGGGGCTAATTTTGTGACATGTAGTTTTATTAGACTCAACATCTTGGACAAGTTTTGTTAAACAGCTTTGATACTTTAAAGTCTTTGCAGTTCCCAAAACAGAACATTTTCCAATTAAATGATCAACTTTCTAGCTGCATTCGCAATATTGTAATTAGAATTAGAATAAGCCATTCATAACAGAGTATGATGGATGAAGCTTTTTTATTTACTCTCAGTAAATGCTAGATGATTACAGTCATTACAGTGAAAGTTGAACAATGATTAAAGATATTTCTTATTTCCAATCTTAATGTCTATGGAGATTCTCAGTCATCCAGATCATGGTTGTTCCAAAGGTGCTTTTTCAAAAGACAACTGGACTTTGTTTTTCCTTGAAGATGTTTCGCCTCTCATCCAAGAAGCTTCTTCTGTTCTGACTGAATACTGCACATGGGCGTGGAAACTTCTTGGAACGGCTGAAAGGACAACACAGTCCTTTGCACTATTCAGGTGAAGGCACAATAAACCTACAAGTGGCCTCAATGACTCACAGAAAGAATGAGAGATGAGAATAACAACCCAGATGACTGCAAGGAATATAAATCCTTCCATCCTCCACCATTAGTCAACAGAAGAAGCTTCTTGGATGAGAAGTGAAAAGTCTTCAGAGAACAACAAAGTCCAGTTGCCTTTTGAAAAAGCACCTTTGGGATTCCAATCTTAATCCATGTAATTTCTTGCTAGAATATTATTTATTTATATAAGTTGTTCAAGAAAATAATTGTGTCCTACATCCCAGTAAAGTCTGATATATTTCTTATATGTAATATGTCTTCATGAAAAATCATGAGTGAACTTTTGCAATACTAAAAGTTAGAACTTTGTACAAATATATGACTTTCCAGTTTTCTGTAGGTTATAGATATGGTAAATGCATGAGAAACAAAATCTAAGAAGTTGCTCTATCTAATATTTCCTTAGCCATGACGAGAGTGTTTGGCAATAGAAACAAAGACATAAAGTTTGCATCAATCTTTAATAAAGATGGCATAGGTACTCTGAGAACAAAATAAGCAAGTGATCCTAGAATATGAAAGTGAGATTTGAGTGTGGGAATGTTCTTTGAACTGTCTTTTCTTAACTAGCTGCAAAAAACATTTAAATATTTGATATTTTTAATTTTTTCCCCATTTATAAGATCATTCCATGAGTACTTATAACAACTAATATAGGAATGAGTAGTTTTTGTCAATGACTAAGAATGGTGGGGTATTCAGATGAGGAATTATTGTGTCTGTCAGAAATGGTGTAGGGTCTCCCGCTTGGGTGGAGGGTTGGACTAGATGACCAAATGGTCCCTTCCAACTCTGATTATCTGTTATCTGTAGGAATCTACCAACTTGTGGCAAAGAAAACAAATCTCATTTTTCCTCACTGTAATTTGAGTCTCATGATATTTTAATAAATAGTAATAATATTGTGGCTTGAAATTTTTACCCAATTTAAAACAATCAAAAATCTACTTTATCTTCTTTAAAAGCGATTCTGTGGATGAAAAAAATGAAGGACATAATGGGAAATCACAGCAGACTTGCAACAGAAGATATGTGGACCACCATTATAGTCCTATGAATGTGGCTGAATTATTGTTTGGCAAAAGCCTCTTCTGGAATATTCAAGATTTTCCTCAAAATATAAAGACATGCTTAGCATTAGAGAATACTTCCAATGAATTCTATAAACATTATTGAAATCAAGCTGTATTTCTCTGCTAGGTTTCTGCTCCTAACATGCTGCCATGTTAGCAGCAGAGAAGAGGGATCTTACAAGGCCATTAGAGGAATCTTACAGAGTTTTTGCTGTTTGTAAATTGCTGTTTTCTATATTTTTTGGCATTCCATCTAGATAAGATATATAAGAAGTCAGGCCTGTGTGTCTGCTGTCATTCTTCAGTACTCTTCTTGTGGGTCATCTTTTCATTTCTTTCTTCCAACAATGACACCACATGTACAAAACCAAAGCATTTTATTAAATTGGGCAGAATTAAACTATATTTTTCAGGTTGCATGAAACAAAATAGTTTTTAAATAAATATGTAGTATTGCACTGCAAATGTTACAAACATACCAAGTAGTATATTTTATATGCAAATTAAGTTTCAAACAATATATATTTATGGTGTTAAACCAATGACATAAGTATATATTTGCATTAAAGTATTGCGTACAGTTTTCCAAATTATTATCTCCCTCCCAGCGGATTTTGAATGCATATAGAAAAATTTCCAAAGGGCTTTGACATTTCTGTAAATGTTACAGTTTTATTTGGGGCTTGGTTATGTATTTCCTAATTTAAAAGATGAATTGATTCTTTGTAACACTCTGAAGGAATTCATTTTCTTCTCATTCTATTAATACCATAAGTATTTCAGTTTAGGTGATGATTTGATATGGAGTCTATTTTTCAGACTCAAGATAGATATTTAAAAAATTTAAATTTGATACAGTGGTTAAATGTACTAGACTAGGAGCTGGGGGACTATGAGTTCTAGTCCTGCCTGAGGCACAAAGCTATCTGGGTCAGTTTGGGCCATTCTGTCTCAGCTGTAGGAAAAGAAGGTAATGGCCACTTCCAGAAAAACATTGCTAAGAATATTGTAGGAATTTGTCTACAGTCAAAGGCACGCATATATACAGACACAAATTATAAGAAGAGTTCTTTGTAGCTGGGATGCTAGAAAACCTCTGAAAGCCAAAATGAATCACCACCGGGGGGTGGGGGGGGCATTTGTTTTTAAAAAAACCATGATAGATTATATAAAAAGAAAAGATTTAACAGTATTGATTGAGAGGTGATCATTGACTGGTTTTTAGTTAGTTTCACCTTTTAGTTGATAACAGTTTTTTTAGTTGATTGTTTTTCTCCAGGTGTTCCCAACCTGGTCCGACAGATTTTCCAATGATGCACCTGTTGGACCTTAATTGAAACCATTCATCTTGTTGATGGTCACCTCTTCTCTTTCCTTCCACCCTTCCCAGCAGTATAGATATCTTCAGAGAGCTAAATCTTGGCACAATGTGTCTGAAGTATGGTAGTTTTAGTATGATCATTTGTGTCTGACATGAGAACTCTGGGTTGCTTTGTTCAATGACCATTGATTTGTTTTCTTGGATGTCCATGTTATTCTCGTGGTATTCAAAGTTCAAAATCAAAGTTCAAGAGCATTAATATTCTTTCTGTTCTGCTTCTTCAAACAACTTTCCCTCCATAGAGTGTCACAGAGAAAACCATTGCCTACATGAGTTTGATCTTTGAGAAGCCTTCCTAATGCGAAGCAAAGCCGCAAACATCACTTTCAAAGCTTCCATTATCGCTCTGCTAATTGCAGATTTATAGAATATTTCTTGACTGCTGGTTCATTTACTGTTGCTAATTAATCCTAATTATATCTAAAGGCAGAAACTGTCGACTACGTCAGTATCTTCATTATTAGTTCTAAGTTTTAGTTCTGGTTCTTGTACTTTTTGTCATTCATCTGGCCTTTAATTAATTGAGCTTGCAGTACATTTGCCTTTTCAATAATCTGATGTTTAACTCTTCCAAATTTTAAAATTTCATTCATTTTTTTCGATTTTTCTATGTACATTCTAAACACATCCCATAGCTTGACATAATCAACACAATGAGAACCCTTGCATATCAATGAACATATCTTGATTTCTTTTTTTTTTTAACAGTATTCTTTAGCTATCTTAATTATCAAGTGTACACCAGTGATAATGTCTTTTCTTCCTTGGTCTTTTTTTTTTTAAGTAAAAGTTTTATTAATTTTAACAACAAACAAAAAACACATAAAACATGCTCTTCTGGTTTGCGAGGTTTCGGCAGCGGCAGGGATTTGCGATCCAGCACGATCCCTGCCGAGCTCACTGCCAAGGTTCCCCCGATCCGTTTGGATCTGGAGGATATAGCTGCCCTGCAGGGGCAGCTGAAGACAGGGGGGATCTGGAAAGGGGGTAGGGGGTGTCGCAGACCCCCTCCCCAGCCAGCAAAACCCCCTTTTCCCGAGGCGGAGGAGCGACGGTCAGCAATGGCCGCCATGAAGAAACCTGCAAACGGATAAGATTGTGCAGGAGGAAGAAAATCGGGGAAATCATGAGAGTTGTTTCTGGACCGGGATAAAGTTGCCAAGGGATAAGAAAGTTTCCTGGGGCTTGAAAATTGCTACGGAGAAGTTGCTACATTGTTTCCAGAGAGAGTTACAAGCTGCGTACAGAATTCTAAAAGGGAAAGTTTTGTTTTTTTCTTTCACTCTCCTTCCTAACGTGACAGCGGATGGAATAACAAGAGAAATCTGAAAATCTAGGTAATTAAATACTGAAGAGATAAGGATTTCTGAATGATTTTTTTAAAAAAAAAGACTTAATTTTTTTTTTTTTTTTTGCTGTGAGTGGGAAGGGAGAGGGAAAAATTGGATTAGAATTTGAAAATAAGGAGAAGACTGCCTGGATTTTAAAGAGCTATAAATACTAACAAGGCTTCTGAAAGATATATATTAAATGGAACTTTGTGATCAAACTCCAATCCCAGAAAGAGAAAGTGAAGGAGAAAGTGCTTAAAAGAATTAACCTACTTGGGTTGCTTGGTGACTTTACCACTTTTGAGAATTATCTCTGATTAAAAGCACTTGGGTGGTTGTCTGGGAAAACTTTTTCTCTTTATAATGGCATTACTTGTGGACAGATTGAAACTTTTATATCAAAAATATGAAAAAGAAAAGCAAGAAGGGAAGGACATTTTTGATACTCTTTTTCAGTATTTAGAAATGGCGGTCTACACTTATGTAAAATTGAATGGACAACAGGACGACTGGGATAAAGAAGAAGCCATTTTTGATGAACAAGTGACTTTGGCTGGGGAAGGAAAGGAGAAAGAGAAAAAGGAAAAAGAGACTTTAAGACCTATAAAAGCAATCAAAAAAGAGAAAAACAA